CTTGATCGAGGGCACCGACTGTGCTGTCTGCCTCAGCGAGTTCGAGGAGAACGAGGCCTTGAGGCTTCTGCCCAAGTGTAGCCACGCCTTCCACCTGCCCTGCATTGACACCTGGCTGAAATCGCATTCTAATTGCCCTTTGTGCCGTGCCAACGTGGCCGCCTCGGGTCAGCCGGCTGTTGAAGTGAATGCCTGCGAGGCTCGGAGGCGGGAGGACTTGGTCCTGGTCGTGGACGGTCGTCGGGACAGCGTTTTCCACGAGAGGGTTGTTGCGGTTAACGGCGATGATGTCGGCGGTGGTGGAAATTTCGGGGATCCACGAAAGCGGCTTTTGGTTTCGGATATTTTGAGATTCGAAGAGATTGAAGAGTATGTGAGAGTGGAGATTGATGAGCTGTGGAAGGAGGCCGGGTCGTCTAGTGTGGATAGGGGCAGAGATGGAAATTTGCTCGGAAGCCCGGGTGAGGTGAGAAGAGAGTTCATGGCCAAAGATCATGATAAAGGCAAGAATTCAGTTGTTCAAGATTGAAACATATACTATAGTTTGGTGAAGACATTTTCTTTTTACCTCTTTTTTGTGCTAATAGTGTGGCAAAATGATGCCGAATTGAATGTTGGGTGGCCTTCGAATTTGCAGTAGAAATTATGGCCACCCTTCGAATTTCTTTACTGCGTTTTTTTTGACGCCATGTATGAGATTGGCCGGGATATTTTAGTTCTAAGTTATACGAATGAAGAGCATTATGCTACATTTTACTATGGAATAAGCTATTCATTTATCTGCGGCGGAACAATTGTTATCTTCCGCATGGATTCGTCGAATGTTTTAAATTGTCCGCGGTGTATTTTCCTCGATTTTATCTGTTTAGAAGCAGAGCATCGTTCTTGAAATGCTGTTATGTCTCTTTTCTTATGACTCTCGATTTGAAAAGTGTGTTGCCTTGAAAGATGTTGCCTGCTGTTTGGAAAATTATGGTGCATCTCTCTCTCTCTCTCTCTCTCTCCCTCTCTCTCTCTCATTTCCTATTAGCGGAATAGGAAATGTTGTTATGGTGCACTTGACGTGCGTAGGACAACACTCGTTTTTCCCCGTTTCTTTAAATCGGGAAATTTTCAACCTGTTCTAAGGCACTACATTCATGGGGTCTTGCTATGAACAATATTTATTAAAATTACGATACATTTTTCTTTTAAATTTTATAAAATGCTGTCTATATCTACTACAAGGCTCTT